CTTCCAAATGGAGATGCCTGGGCTAGAAATGCAGATATGATTATGGGTATGGTTCCTGTGGGGTGGGGCCTAAGTCCTAAGACCTTGACTGCAATTCCCTCCAGAAGACTGCAATTCATTGCCTGTGCACCAAGTGTGAGGAGGGCAGTTTTCCCTTATGAGACCTGTTGGGAAAAGCCTTTGTAATTGCCTATGGTTGGGCCTAAAAGATGACGTGTAGGATTTTGGCCTGGAGCTGAACTCCTCAGTTTTTGGCTACTCTTGGTCCTTTGCATTTGCACTCGAGTTTTAGAATCAGCTTGCCAATATCTAGAAAAATGTCTGCTGAGATTTTTATTGGGATTTCATTGAATCTATACATCAATTTTGGGAGAAATGTCATCTTAACAATATCTAGATGCTGAATCTTCTGATCCATGAACATGGTATATCTCTGTATTTATTTAGATCTTTTAATTTCTCTTAGCAATGTTTTGTGGTTTTTCACATACAGGTCTAACACATCTTTAGTCAGGTTTATCTTTAAATACTTAATATTTTTGGATGCTATTTTAAATGGTGTTTTACAAAAACTTCAATTTCCATTTTTTCTCTCAAATATAGTAACAATAGATTTTTGTATATAGATCTAGTTTCCTAAAGTGTTGCTAAATCAACATATTAGTTCTAGTAGTTTTTCTGTAGACTTCATAACATTAGCCTAAACTATATGGCATTGGTTTAATGGCAGGCGGCAGACAAGGACGCAGATATTACAGGCTGAAAAGCTGGTGATCCTTTTTATGCTGCCGTAAAACATTTCATAAAATTGTCAACTCAATATCTTGGAAGGCCAACCACATGCTCTTTGAATCTGTAACTGTAGGGAAAATGGTACAGAAAAACTGTAGGGATGATTCTCTGACCAATGAGAGAGTATAGTCTGTTGCCTGCCTCCTTCAGGAAAATCCTTTGAGAAAGATGAACTCAGGTAGAAGCTAGCCATTTTGAGATGAAGGGAAATAAAACTCTGCTAAGATTGAAGTTCTCTGTCTGCAGTCTGTAATACAAATTGACTGAAGGTGGTTATTTAGGGCCTTCTAGTTTTGATAAAGCCAAAAGCTATTATACTCCCAATAGCAGAAGATAAAACTGTGACCCAAAGCCCTTCTCAAGGGCCATTAGCAAAGTGTTGTCTGCCAGATGATGGAAGCCAAGCAGTGAAGATTCTATTAAGGGGATTGCCTTTCCAACCAAACCCGCTGTTTTTGCTGGCTACAAGGGCACTGTAATTAAGTTAATAGATAAAGGATGGGACAAACAGAGCCTAGTAAATAAAAATGAAGAGTAATTACGCATAAGAAATATGACTAGTTGAGATCTTTAGCTGCGATTATTTGTACAAGGAATTGTAAAAGGAACAAATGAACCAGAAATACATTAACTTTTCAAATGGAGTTGACAAAAAGCTACAAGTCTAGCTTGCCAATACCTGTGTGCATTTGACCCTGAAGTCCCTCAGAACTGCACCAGTAAGAAACTGGGCACAAAAAGATGTGTATCCTCCCAGGAAGGCATACTTGTCAATATACTCTTCAGATGCAATCATGGAGGATCATGGATAAGAACCTCCCAGAGGGTAAAGCCAGTAACTTCAAATGCAACAACAGAGGAATTCCTTCTGGAAAGCAGAAATGGGGTCTAACCAAGAATTTACTTACCACCTGGGCAATCTTTGAAGTTTCCTTTTTGCAACATTTTGCTAGGCTATGGACCAGTGACTACTTCCCCTCCATTCTTTTTCCAAATAATTTTTCATATTCTTACCTCATCAGGTATATGGGGGAGGGTGTGTGTGTGTGTGTGGGGGGAAGATACCTCATCTTTTAGTTAGTAGGTCACTGGGTCATGAGGAGTTATATTCAGACTTGAAAAGGACTGTATATCATCTTCATATCATGGACTTAAGAGCTGGATGCAATAACTACTTGGAACTTTGGCTTTTCTCCCTTTGGAATAGGGTATGTTCTGTTAGAAGATGGGCATATATAAATATCTGGGTGGCCAAAGGTGTGGACTGTGACAAAGTTGTCCACCAATGTACATTCTCACCTTCCTTTATTACTAGAACTGCTGAGTATTAGCTGGATCCATGGTTGCCCAGCTAGAGAACTTTATCTCCCACCTTCCAGTTAGATGTGGTTATGTCTCTAATCAGGTCAATGGAATGAGTGAGTAGTGCTACATCTGGGACTCACTCCCAGGAGTACTGAGATATATATCCCTTTCCTTTCTGCCTTTTGGCAGGACTAAGATACAGATGTGATGGCAGGTTCTGGGATGGAGGTTATGTATGAGGATAGCAGCACTGACCTACCATTCCTGGACCACTGACCTCTGGACCAGTATGGGAGAGAAAAAAAGCAAAACTATCTTGTTTCACAGACACATAAATACAGAGAACAAACTGATGGTTGTGAGAGGAGGAAGCCGGGGGATGGGTAAAATGGGTGAAGGGGAGTGGGAGGTACAGACTTCTAGGGATGGAGTGAATAAGTCACAGGAATAAAAGACATAACATGGGGAATATAGTCAATGGTATTGTAAAGTATTGTATGGTGACAGATGGTAGCTACACTTGCAGTGAGCTTAACTATAGATTTGTTGAATCACTATGTGGTAGATCTGAAACTAATGTAACATTGTGTGTCAACTATGCTTCAGTTAAAAAAAAACACACTATCTTGTTTCATATACAGTATCTTTGGGTCTCTGTTAAAGCAACCTTATCTGTATCCCAACTAAAACCTAGGCCTAGATTTGGAATAGAGTATTATGTAAGTATTCTTGTCTCCAAAGGCCAAGGTGGAGCCATTCTTGAACAAATGGAAAAGAAACTTTTGCTAATCTAAGTAAGGGCTTTGGCCCAATTAAACCAATACTAACCACAGGAAACTTAATGTAAGCCAATTCAGTATGAGATATTATGGAAGAAATGACATGGTCCTATTAGCACTTAACTACCTACTTTTAGATTGCATGTTAAGAGAAACTTCTATTTTGTTTAAACTGTTGTATTTCTGGTCTTTTTCATATCTAAGAGGATGCTTACACTGCATCCTAAACAACATACATTGTTAGAATTTGTTGAAAAACCAATGCCTAATCACAAAAATAACAAATCAAAGCAGTGTGTGCCCAATGGGGAATATGGACAAAAAAAAAAAGACTCTCAGTTTGGAGCTCAGAAGGGATTAGGAGGGTCTGAATAAAAGGAAGTCCTAGTGGTGAAAATGGCATCACTGAAGGCAGGAATATTTTATTTTCTCCTTAAACCAACCAACCAACCAACCTCAGTGTAACTTTTCTTGCAACTATTCTGGTAAATGAGATAAGAAACCACTGCTTTAAAAAAAAAAAAAGCTTTGAAATAAACCAAGGTACTTTTCCTTTAAAACTATTTTTGTTTATAAATAACATAGGCATTGGAACACTTGAGAACACTGTAACAATGCAGAACATTTTAAGAAAGTGAAAATCAGTAGACATTACCTTGAACAACAAAACTGCAACCATTATTTTTTTTCTGGTCTTTCTTCAGTGGGTGCACAAGTGGAGACACATGTATTTTTATATATACTACAGAGTACATATATATACATACTGTAGCTCTGTTGTGTTTTTTCACTTAATATTATGTAAGTACTTAGTGAGGTGAAAAATTCTTCAGTTCTTAGTTGCTATTAATTTCATACAATTAACCATAAAACATAGAAAATCAGTATGTATCAAAAGGCAATAATTACACACACACACACACAGAATATTTCCTCTGACAGAAAAGCTTATTTTTTCAAGCGCTTAGCAGTGACCAAGCGTAGAAGAGACACCTTGGAGTTTCAGGAGAGGCCTGTAGAAACTACTTTGCATAACCTCACAGCAAAAACAATTAAATCAAAAGTAAAAACTGAGGCAAATTGCCCAGAGGAAATCTAAAATTACAAAATAAAAACTTTATTGTTACATGTCTGCCCATATTCTACAATATAGTAGAGCCATCCTTCTGTCCTATTATAGTCGAGACCACCTTAAAACAAAAGGGCAACTCACTCATGGGGGAGGTCCGGTCAAACTCTTTTCATTTCTGTGGGTGCTAATCTTAAATTCCTTCCCTCATGAGACTATTTGCCCATTCTGGCAGAACATTTGTGTGAAACCAAAATTTCACATATGGAACTCCCAAGTCACCCATCTGGCCCCACCTACCTTATTTTTCGGGTTGAAAATTTGTCACAGGAACAAATGTTATCTCCCACGATTTGAGAAACAAGACTGATCCAACAACACCATTAAATGCATATAAACTGGGCTACTGGTGGTATTAGTGCTTTGATTCTCTATTTTCCCCCCTGCAAAATGGGTTTATCAGTGTGTATATGTATTGTGTATATATACATAAAACATTATTTTGAATTATCTTCCCTATTCTGAGCTTTTTGAAAATTGTGCTTAGTTTTTATTCTGGATACTCATCTTCTTGATAATTTATCATTATAAGGGCTGCAGTGGAAATACTCATACATTCTAGTTGCCTGTAAAGTAGGTTGTCTTGTATCTTATTGGGCACACTGAACAACTGCTAAGGTTTTTTAAGGAGGGTACGAACTTTAAAATCAAAGGCTAGGCGTTATTATTATTGGCCTCTGCCGCTTCACGTACTTTCGTATCGCAATTAGTACATTTGTTCTCTGCCTGGGAACTTTGTACTGAAGCCGAACCAGAAAGACTCGCTGGTGCCTCCTAGGACCAGGCACCCCCGCCGTCTCCCCTCCCACCCCTGGGCGAGAACACGCCCTCAGCTACTGCCGGTCTGGCCCGAGCCTTAGGTAACTTCTATTCCGGGGCGGCAGTGGCCACAGCCAGCAGCGCAAGCGGGCCTCAGCTGACCCCCGCCCGCAGCGCGGCCCAGTGCACTGGGGTCCCGCAGCCGGGCGCCAGCTGCCCACTCCGCAGGGGCGGCTCCGCTCTCGACCGCGCCGTTCCGTTTGGCGGCCTCTCGGCCAGCCGCCCGCCCATGCTCTCAGCCACCAGGAGGGCTGGCCAGCTCTTCCACACTCGCTTTCCCGTTTCGAGAATGAGCGACTCCGCCTCTAAGATCGTCAGCCCCCAGGAGGCCTTGCCGGGCCGGAAGGAGCCGATCCCCTATACGGGTAAGGACGCGTGCACGCGCAGAAGGCTCTGTTATTGTCGTGGCGCATGCGCATCAGCGCCCGGTGGCTGCGCGTCCTCGGCCCGCCCGGAAGAGAGCCGAGGGCCGGCCTCTGGTGGATAGTTAGGCTGGGGTCTGCGCAGGCGCGGAGAGGCTCCGACCCGGGGGCGTGGGGAGGGGTCGTAGTTCTTTCTTTGTTTGGCTTCTCACCCCTTAAAACAGCATGAAGCACTTTGATGGAATCTAATATGTTGGTATAACTCACCTAGAGTGCAAATACCCCGGCGGCTCCAAACTTTGGGTAGGAAAAACGCTGACCCGATTTCCGCTCTTTCTCACAGGTGTGTGCGCCCTCAGTCCCGGCTTCTGTGCCTCCCTTTTTCTTTCTCTTGTGTACGGTCCGCTGGGATACTGGCCACTTTCAGCGATGGTGCCGTGTTGTGTTGTCACTGGAAGCAATGGAATGATACAGAACGATGAAAACTGCAGTTTTGAAATTGTATCTCAGACCACTGTACCGGTTGCAAGAATTATCCTCAGGCTTCCATTATTCTCCCTGAGTGCCCGGTTTCTCCCAATTAGCAGGCGCTGCCTCTGGCCCCGTGCTCGCGGGTCTGCCGGTATCAGTAGTCGGAGGTGTCGCTTTAAAGCTGTGCTTTACAAACTTAAAAATAATTTTCTAATCTCATACCAAAACTTTTGGAAAATACAGTAAAAAAAAAATGCCAGAAAAATGATCACATGGTTGGGTGCCCAGTAATGTTAAACTACTCTAAAAGTTATTTGCATAAACCTTAAACCTCAGTTTCTGTTGCAGACTGGTAGCGGTTCGCAGACATCCCAGGTCCACCAACCAAGGACCATTGCCATTATCTTGGTGCAGTGCTTCTCAAAGCGTGGTCCCTACAATTAGTGTTTTAAACAAACCCTTTGGGTGATTCTAATACACTCCATAGTTTGTAAACCAGTGCTTTAGAGCTGTTGGAGAATTAAATGGTGATTAGTCTTTTACATATGGCTCAATGCCAAGATAAAGCCTGCATTTAAAAATTCCTGGGAATTTTGTTTTTCTTTTCCTTAAAGAATTATTGAGTTATAGGAGGAGGTCATAGTGAGGGTGTGCCTATCATACACAATATTCAGTATCAGTATGAGATTGGAAAAGATAGGTTTTTTGAATGTGGGGCAGTTTGGAAACTGACGCTGTGTAACTTGTTTCTCCATCTGCATTAGCAGTGCTGCTTCCTATGCCCCCCTCACTTCAACTCCACCTCATGGTCAGCCCTAAAAGTTTTATTTTTGACTCAAATTCCGAGAATGAGTTTTAAACTTCATTTTAAAAACAAATTCTCTTTTACAAACCAGTATTCATAAATGGATACTTAAAGGCAGTGCTTTTTCAATGCTGAACACCCCCAGCTTGTACTAAACTTCCTCTTTATATACTACAGTCTCTTTGGTATGCCCTCCCAGACATCTAAAAAAGAACAAATGAACACAAAAATCTTGATCAGATTTGCAAACTGGTTCAAGATCAACTTTGACCAAAATGTAGTTCTGCTTAATCTTTTTTTTTTTAAGATTGATTTATTTATTTGATGGAGAGAGACACAGCGAGAGAAGGAACACAAGCAGGGGGAGTGGGAGAGGGAGAAGCAGGCTTCTCGCTGAGCAGGGAGCCCCAATGCTGGGCTCCATCCCAGGACCCTGGGATTATGACCTGAGCCGAAGGCAGACGCTTAAGGACTGAGCCACCCAGGCGCCCCTAGTTCTGCTTAATCTTAACCAAAGTCTTCTCAATCACTTACCTGATACATAAATGACATTTTTGGTAAAAGATTAACCAATATGACAGAAACGAGCCAATGATTTGTCACATCCACCTAGTAACTCTAGTGGAAAACCTCAGGGTTTGGTTCTCTTCCAGGCTTTTCAGTCTTTTTATGTAGCCATGCATACATCTCTGTATCTGGACCAGTAAACTGCTTTTTTTGGTGTAGGGCCAAGCCTACAATGTATGTGCATGTGCAATGCATATGTCCTTATTGCTCAGCTGTTTTAACTCTTTTCCTGCCCAAATACTTCAGTTTTAGATTGTGGCCTTTCCAGTCCCCACTCCTGGTACAACTCCTCCCTTGACAGGTTGCCAAAGGTTCTGACTGGCCCAGAAATGGGCAGTATTACCTCCTTGGTAGGTTTTGGTGGCTGTAAGCTTGAAACTTATGGACTTAAGTATTATTTTTTTGAAAGTCAAATTCATCTCTATCCCAACCTCCAATCTGTTTAGTAGCCCTTCACTCCTTATTATCTCTGCCTGTTGTTAATTGTACCTGACTTTCAAACGTTCTGTGACAGAAGCATCACCTTTTGATTTTAGAAGATAAGGCCTGTTTAGTGTCTTTGGTTCAGCCTATTACTAGGCTCTGTCTTTGTGCTCTATTACCAAATACTTTAGGTGTGAAGAGTTATCATTTTAGCTTTAATCCTACCTTTTTTTGGTATTCAGAAGAAAACTTACACCCTTTTATAAACTGTGGCCAAGTAGTAGATTACTACTTTGCAAGAGGGTAAGATTCAGTCCTTCAAACTTCTGTAGTGTTAAATTTCTCCCAGGCTACCTGTAGTGGATGAAAAATGAATAGTCCTATTTTGGGTGACTGGTCATGACTAAACTTGGACTGGACTGGCTCATTTGAAGCAGACCCTGTTCAAGTTGGTAGGGGGTCCTGGACAGCACCGGCTGGCTGGCAGGGCATACAAGCAGTTTACCTGATCTTATATGTGGAGGTGGTCTCTCTCTGTTTCAGTGCCTGGCTGTAAAGCAATACTCAGATAACTTTGGGACTGGGGGAAAAGTGGAATTCATGCTTGTTGAACTGAATTGGTGGGCAGTTAATTGCTAGAGATAGGCAGGAGGTGGAAGGCTTATACTGAAAACCTGTGTTGTTAAAATGTAAGTTTATTACAGTTAGAACTAATCTTATTTCCAGTGAATTAATTACTGTAAAAGCCCAGTAGTTGGGCTTTTGTATGGCACCTTTTTTTTTGCATTTTGGAAATATTGCTAATCTGTTTTTTTGGTCAGGTGTTTGGGATTTGGAGATATCATCTAAGATAACATTGACAGCTCATATTTAATCTCTGCTTTCTTGGGCCTATATTCTTAGGTAGTGTTCACTGTATTACTGTGTTGTTGTTGTTGTTTTTTTTTTTTTCCTGGCAAGAGGAAGAGATGTAGAACATCTGCTCAGAGTATACTCTTTTAAGAACTTTAAGTATACATAGAAAAACAGTAGAACAATATGAGTAATCCAAAAGGTGGTTCCTTGGAAAACAATTGAACTGTAACAGTAAAATTTATAAACTATCTAATAAAAAGGGAGGAAAGTACAAATACATAAAATAAGAACTGAGAGGGGAGTAAATAGAAGTAGAAAACTTAAAGAATTATAAGATATTAACTCTTTGAAAATAAATTTGAAAACTTGGATGGAATAGATAATTTTTAGGCAAATATAATTGACCCAGATTGATACCAGAAAGATCCCATTCTGTTTAGGAAATCTTAACAGAATGATTTTTCTAGAAGAAATGAAGTCATCCAAGAGTTGCCTCCTCTCAAAGCATCATGTTCAGACAATTTTACAGGGCACTCCTACTACTCACAACCCTGAGATCATGACCTCGAGCCAAAATCAAGAGTCGGATGCTTAACCAACTAAGCCACCCAGGTGCCCCTATGTCTAATTTTTTGAGGAATCTCCATACTGTTTTCCACGGTGGCTGCACCACTTTGCATTCCCACCAACAGTACATGAGGGTTCCTTTTACTTCACATCTTCACCAACACTTGTTGTTTCTTGTTTTTGATTTTAGCCATTCTAACAGATGTGAGGTAGTATCTCATTGTGGTTTTGATTTGCACTTCTCTGACAATGAGGGATGTTGAGCATCTTTTCATATGTCTCTTCTTTGGAGAAATGTCTGTTCATGTCTTATGTCCGATTTAAAATTGGATTATTATTTTTTTTTGGTGTTGAGAAAATTTTCATCTTTCTATAACTTGTGGCTTAGTAGATGTCTACTTTACAAGAAGATAAGATTCAAACCTTCAAACTCCTTCAATGTGAAGCTTTTCCAAGGCTGCCTAAAGTGGATCAAAGCATGACTAGGCCTATTCTGGGTAATTGGTTATTATTTAACATTGTTTTGTAAGTGATAGCTAATGTAGTCAGATAGGAGAAGGCAATTAGAAATGTACAAATTGGAAAAGAGAAGGTAAAACTGCCACTAGTTTGCAGATCGGGAGATTATATACCTGGAGAATCCAAGAGAATTAATAGTAATGTATCCACTTACGAGACAACAACCAGTAGCTTTACTCTATGCAAACAACTTGTTAGAAAATATACTGGAAGAACACACCCCATTTATAACAGCAACCAAAAAAGATAAAATTTATGTATAAACTTGGCAAGAAATATGCAAGACCTAAGTGAAGAAAACTTTCAAATGCTACTGAAGGACACAAAAGAAGACTTGCACAAATGGTAAGACATACCAGGTTCTTGGCTAAGAGTGAACAGGAAACATATAAGTTCTCCCTATAAGTTAATTTATAAAGGAACACGGTTTTAATAAAAGTACTAATATTTTTTTGTTTTATTCTAGAACCAGACACATTAATTAAAAAAATTCATATGGAAAAATAAACAGGAAGAGTTACAGTAACTGTCAAAGAAGAGCAAAGAGGGGCAGCTGGTCCTACCACATAGTAAAAGTGAAGCTTAATAACTTAAACAATGTGATACTGGTCCATGAATAAGTAGGTCAATGGGATAGAATAGAAAGATCAGAAATTCTTTTTAAATCTTTTTTTTTTTTAAAAGATTTTATTTATTTATTTGAGACAGAGAGAATGAGAGAGAGAGAGCACATGAGAGGGGGGAGGGTCAGAGGGAGAAGCAGACTCTCTGCCGAGCAGGGAGCCTGATGCGGGAC